ATTCCTTTCATTCATTTTTTTTCTCTTTTCGAAAAAGTCAGCGTAGCGAAAAGAAACTAAAAAGTAAAAAGACTTACGCTTAATCCCAGAAAAGCCAAAATCCGAAACCGCGAGAAAAGAGATAAAACCGCAGAAAAAGGCAGGATTAAAAACAAGTCAACCACCTTAACCAAGAGTTGTTGACGACCAGCAAAGTCAAGCGACAAATAAACAAGGCTACCCAGCAACCAACAAGCTGGATGACCACCAAAGAAATCCCCGCCACAAACCGGACGACCACTCCAGAAAAAAAAAACAAAAACAAAAACAAGAGAACACATCTCACATCGGCGCATGAGCGACTGAGCAGTAAGCCGCCACCACCACCAGTTCTACACAGTGGACTGTACCAGCCTGATGGGGGGTTCATACCCATCAACTTGCGCACGAAATGCACCTGATCTGCACACGAGTCAGACCAGTAAGTCGCAACTACCAGCCTAATAGGGGGTTTATACTCATCCAGTCCAACGCACAGCGGACTGCAACTACCAGCTTGATGGGGGGTTTATACTCATCCAGTCCTACGCACAGTGGGCTGTAACTACCAGCCTGATGGGGGGTTTATACCCATCAACCGAAGGATCGACTACCGTCAGAAGGAGTATCCTGAGGTTCTACCACGTGTCAACCAAAGGGATCGGCTACCATCAGAAGGAGCATCCTGGAGGCGCACAACACACTTTTCCCCAGAAGATCAACCGCCGCAAGACGGAACATCCAAAGGGTAATTGGGCAAGAGGGTCAACTCCTTTACCCTCTAGTCGATCTTCTTGGCATGACAGGCCAGCAGTCGACTAGCCAGGTAAAGGAGGGGCAGCTGTAGACCCCAAATCTTGCCCGACCTCAAAATAAGAGCAGAAGACCTCCTATTCAAAGATGAACGAAGCCTAAAAAGCCACTAGGAGAGACTATTAGGCCTCATATTAGAGTAGGAAGGATTTTCTGTATAAAAATAGGGATTTTTGCCTTCAGGAGTCGAGACCGCCATCTCGCTGAAGGGCAAGTCGAGACCATCATCTCGTTTGGCGAGACGACTGTCTCGCCACTTGCCAATGGCGAGACCCCCCTCTTGTTTGGCGAGAAAGTCTTCTCGTCACTTGGCAAGTCGAGACTGCCGTCTCGCCATTGATGCAAGTCGAGACCGTCGTCTCGACCTGACAGGCGCGAATCCCTATAAATAGTGAGTGCTCCCCCCTTCATTTCACATAGTTCTTCCACTTTTCCTTCTACACTTTCTCCAAATTCTCCTTCTAGAGTCCCTCTGAAGCATTTCCGAAGTTTCTGAGTGTCTAAGAGAGCTTTTTATAGCGTTTTTGAGAGCGATTTCGGCATTGTAAGAGCGAAGGGCTGTCAAAACGCACCCTATTTTTCAAGAGAGTTAATCAAAAGCTTGCTCCGGAGGTTTCTTCACTCTCTCCCTCTCTTTTACTGCCTTTTTACTTATATTAGATTGCGTAATAGATATTAGGGTCATGTAGTCATCATTTTAATACTGCGAATAAAAGGGTAAAAGCGTCTTTTCAAAAGTTTATTTATAAAATAACTGGTCTGTCATAGGGAACCCGAAAGGGGCGTCGTAAGGGAACTAATACTTCCCTTACACGTAACTAACTCCCTTACCCAACTTTGGTTTTAATGACCAAAGTTGGTTTTCGAAAAACCAACGTCTTTTCTCTCCTTTTTCAATGTTTCCGGTAAAAACATCGGTGGCGACTCCATAAGAACCCTTTCAAATTAGTTCTTAGGTCAGCCCAGTTATCGGACGATCTAAGAACACCATTTTGAAAACCTCGCCCTTAGGTTCAGCCCGGTTATCGGACAACCTAAAGGTGTTGTAACACCACTCATAAAAACACGAAAAATGGAAAGTCGGAACCATCGCGTCGCTCCGACTGTGTATTTTTGACGGGGGCGACACCTGGGTCCTTATAGCCAAGGGAAGCAATCATGTTCAAATGACTTCAGATGATATGTATATATTAAACACCCTTAAATGTAGGCTCCCAATTGATTGGTTTGAAATTATGAGTGACAATATTAGGAAATCCTACAGGTTATCCCTTTACCCTCTACCTTATTTTGTTTTTCTCTTAAAGGTGTTTGAATATGTTGGGTGTCAATTTGGATGGAGAATCTTTTACTATAATGAATCATGTTAATCAGATTGGGAAGTCTATCATTCACCACATGGGAGTGGTGAAGAGGGATAATGAATGGTTCTTTAAGAATGAAGAATAGTTTGTTGATGAAAATGTTGAACCAATTAGTGTAAATATTCCTACTTCTTCTACTGCCAGGAAAAATTTCTCTTCCTTTGAACAATTCATGTTAGAAAAATATAGATAACATACATATTTGGTAAAAGGAAAGACATGAGGTTTATTGCTCCTAACTGGATAGGTTAGATGGTAAAGTGTCATCCATTATGAGAACATTGAAGAGAGACCACAATGGCACTAAATTGGAGGAAAGTGGCAGTGTAGATGGTGAAGGCGGTAGTTCCAATCTGATGACAAATGATTGTTATTTTTGTTCTCCTTAATCCTATGTTATAACTTGTTTTAACAATTCATTTGATGGTTTGTAATATCTTATCTGACATGTTGATTTACTAACTTGATACCTTATATTACTCTTTGAACCCTTTGTTATTTGATCTGCACTTAATTAAACTGTATTGTTATATTTTCACTCCATCTTAACCCTTTTTTTTATGAAGTCCAAAGGGGAGGAAAATTTATTATAGGTATGTTGATTGATCATCATAAAAAAAGGAGAAATTGTTAGTAATTTGGTATCTTTAATAAAGATTTCCTTTGATATATTTCCTATTACATCGAGTAGGTAGTTTTGTGTGTTTAAAAATTATAAAGTTAAATGATTAGATCAATTTTGAAATTATCTAAAGAATCAATTAACTTTAGGACTAAAAATTAATAATCAATTATGCTAATGCTTTATTGATTATATAGCTATGTTTTTGAAATGTTGTACCAAATTGATTGATTACATTTTTTCTTTAATTAATTATCTAAATCAGTTAAAAATATTTTAATTTTTTAAATTAAAGAAAAGTTCAAATTCATGTGATTTTGTTCCTTTCCCATTAGTTTATTCTTTCATAATTTTTGGCTCCCATTAGTTTATTCTTTCATAATTTTTGGCTCTTATGATTGTGAAGATCATCAAGATTGTTTAAAAATTGTGAAAATAATATTTTTAGGATTTATTTTTTAGATATTATTAAAATATTTGAAATATCTACGTCTTGTTCTTGAGTTTAGATTATACAGTTAATTATTTTAATTTGAATTTTGAAATTTATAGTGAAAATTCAAATTAAAATCACTTATACATAATCGAATAAATATAAATCTTTATATTATTATCTTTTCTTTATCTTCATCTTTTAAGATAATTGTAATACATTTCATATTTTATATATTCAGGTTTTATAACAATTGCAATATATTTATATATTAATGTTTTAGAACAATTACACTGCATTTCATATTCTATTTCAATTAAATTATAGAAAAATATTCATGATTTTTATTTTTAAAAATTTTAAAAATCAAGATAGTTTAATTGATTAAATTTTAAAAATATTTTTTTAAAACCTCAATTCACCATATTGAATTACGATAAGTCATTCTAATTTTTCAACAACATCAAGTGTAATTATTTAAAAAATAAATTAACTTAAAATAAATATCAAGAATAATTAATTAGTACAATTTTTAAATGCATTATAATATTTAATTTTCTTTTTAATCAATATAAATTAAATTAATATTTTTATATACCGTATTTAAATAATTAATTGTAAATAATAAAAATACCTAGTTGAATGTAAAATATTATTATTATAGATAAAAATAAGTTTGTAGTAACCAATCCAATATAATTATAACTGAATTCAAAAGTAACATGTGGAAAAATTTTAGGTTGCAAAAGTAGCGTATATAATAGAATTTCAGAAATAAATATTTGTGAACTCGTTTAAAAAACTGTAAACTAATTTGATAAATACATTACCCTAATAAACGGAAAGAAATTATATTATAATAGAATTTGATGCGTTTGTTTCCACTTGTTTTTAGAAAAATATTTTATATATTTACTTAAAAAATTTAAAATAAGCAGACGTTAAAAATAAGGTAATAACTGCTTATTTTGATAACTTACTATGAACTGTTTATCCGAATAAGTGATGCAGAAATGGGAAATCTCTTCATACAGTTCAGAAATGGAAAATCTCTTCATACAGTTCAGAATTCCTTGTCTTTTTCATTGTTGCATTACGGGAAATATTGCTACCAGTTTTTTTTTTAATGCATACTTTTTTTATGCATGGAATTAGTAGTTTAAATTAATTAAATAGAAAAAAAAATTTAAATAATTGACCAATCCAAACATGGTACCATTTCTTCCATTGAAATTCTTTAACGATGTCAGATAATTAAATAGAAGTACGTGGATAAATAATTTAATGACAGTGATGTCACAATCCATGATGGATGGATAGATAGAGTTACGTTTATGAATGAAATGAACAATTATTATCATTTTAATTTCAGTATTAATTTCTGCGAATGTCTGCTAAATAGCATGAATCTTTCTGACCTAAAAAAAAAAAATTATCAGGTGGGGTCCGTCTGCACGTAATTTGTTTTTCACCTTCTTACTCTGTAATGAAAATTTTCCATTTTTCTTTTTTCTTTTTTATTTTATCAGTGTTGGAATTTTGTGTTCCTATTTCCTTTTTCATCTTAATCTTGTATACTACACTTTCCTCATTCACCACCGAACCCTAACCCTAATCCTCCATCCATTTCTTCTGTTCTCTCTGCTTCTGCTTTTGCTTTGACAACAATTCCATATATGAATAGCAAGTTGGAGCTTTCATGACCATATAATGACCTTAGCGTTGCAAATCGATTGCATGGGTTTGGAGAATGCCAGAGCTTCGTAGTGGACCGCGACGACGTCGTGCTCCGGTTAGTCGTAGAAGCTCGGAACCACCGTCTCCGGCGGGGAGATACGTAAAGACTCGCGCTGCAGTTGCCAGGGAAGTGGCGGCGGCGGCGGAGAGGCCGAGGACTCGTTTGGCGGCGAAACAATTAGAAGAGGAGAAGCCGGTCATTGTTATATCCGATCACACTAAGAAGGAAATTGAAGGCGGCGCTATGGGGGATGAGAGTGGTGGCCTAAGTGCTAACAAGGGTGTTGCACAAGAAGATGACGCTAACCCAGCTCCTTTCCCGGAAAGGGTATTCTATTACCTCTGAATTACTCAGTTCTTTTGTTTGACTGTTATTCAGTGATGTTAATATATTGGTACTTATAATACGTTTTTCACTCCGAAGGTTCAAGTAGGAGGGTCGCCTGTCTACAAAGTCGAGAGGAAACTCGGCAAAGGAGGATTTGGACAGGTATTTGTTGGCCGGCGAGTAACCGGTGGTAATGACCGTACCGCTGGTCCTGGTGCCACTGAGGTAATAGCTCCCCCTGTTACTTCACTGTTGTGTACATTAAAGAATATTGTATGACTTTGAATTGATTGCATATCTGCTATCTTTCGTGTTTCAGGTGGCTTTGAAATTTGAGCATAGAAACAGCAAAGGCTGTAACTATGGCCCCCCTTATGAGTGGCAAGTGTACAAGTAGGTGTCTTGTCTATTATTCTCTTACAAGAAATATATGTTGTCAATTGTTTTTGATTATGTTCAAGGTTTGCGTTGAAGTAAATTGGCCTGGGATTGACTTTTTTATGTTTTTTGTGAAAAGCACCCTTGGTGGCAGTCATGGAATACCTAAAGTACACTATAAGGGGAGACAGGGAGAATATTACGTGATGGTATGACCTACACAACAGCCATTTTATACTTTCATCGCCAACTTAACTATTTACCACTTTTTTTTTTTTTTGGGGGGGGGGGGCGCTATGTATGCAGGTTATGGACATGCTTGGTCCCAGCCTGTGGGATGTGTGGAATTCCTCAAGCCAGGCGTGAGTATAAGTGAACCCCATTTATTGTATCTTCTGTGTTGTTTATGTCTTGTGTTTTAAAAGAAAAAACTAGTATAATTTTTGTGTTTATTGTAGAGTTTTTGTTATCGAGGTGAGTTGACTCCTTTTGTAGCTTCATTTTCTTGCACATGCTTATGTAACTAAATATAAAATGAATATTCTAACGGAATGGAGAACAAGAAGTTGGTGTTGCAGTAGCTGTTGATGGTCTTTTGCTTTAAATTCTTTATGGTGTCATCTCTTTGTTTTTTTCTCCAAAAATGTGGTTTTGTCTTCAGCTAAATTTGACTCCCTTTTTGTTTTCATGCAAATGACTACTTTAGTAAATACTTATGAAATTTAACTTTAACCCATTCTGGCTTAATGATGTATATAATGCATATTTTTTCCCTTTGAGTATGTATTTTATGCCATCCATTGCAGTACTACTTGCTGTTGCCATTCTTATTATGTAACGACCCATTCTTGGACCGTGATCAGCACACAGTTTGCTTACTCTGGTCAATCTTAGAGTAATACTATACAGAGACACAAATAGAAAACATGCCAAGGGAGTTACCAAAAATAATATAGTTTCTCTGTCATAGCAAACAACACATGAATAATTATTAGTATACCCCATATGTTGCATTGCAACAAACTGTTATTATTGGAATTATGGGTGCTCAACCCATAGGCTACATTCTTTTCCTGTTGTCACTAGCTGTAATCATATCATAAAACCCAGTTTGAGAAGTTGAAATAAATATTTAACGTACATTATTCTGACTATTAAGAACCATGAGAAAAACAAACAAGGCCAAAACAGAAAAAAAATATTATACTTGTTTTCATTCTCAATTGCTCATAGAAATCATAATCTTAAAGTGAACCGATTATTCTGAAATTTATTACTTCTCCCACAAACATGTCACTATGTAGATTAGCAACTCATCTAATATGGGGAACCAAATCAATTCCTTCCAATGCTGTTATGAGCAGTAACCGCAATATTTTCCGATGCATCTAAACACCAAGAACAAGAAACAAAGAGCTTAAACAAAAATTCCAATTTATAAGGTTTATGGTTTTAAGGAAACCATTAAAATTCAAATATCTAAATTTTCAACAACCCACACATAACCCATTGCTAATCTATTTCATAAAACAATTTCTCTATATTTATGCATTATAAGTTTACCTCAAGGAGCTCCAAATAAGGATTTTTGAGGGCTGGGTATGGTAATGTTACTTTTAACCCATACTTGTATGCCTCATGGGCGTGAGGAGTTTGAGTTTAGAAGCAATGGAGAAAGAAGAGTGAGGAAGACAAATATGAGAATGGGGAGAGGGGAAGTTTGTTCTGTTGTGGGGATTGTTGAGTTTAATAAAATAAAAAGAGAGAGGTTTTTCTTTTTTATTATTATTATTAGTATTGAAGCAGTGCGTTTTATTATGTTCTCTTCCTTCCTTTGTGCAGTGACTAAGTTGTTCCTTGTTTATTCTTTGAAGTTCTGTTAACACCTGTCTTTTTGAATGTTTAGGATGTCTGCAGAAATGGTTTCCTGCATTGCAGTGGAGTCCCTGTCAATATTGGAGAAGATGCACTCTAGAGGGTATGTTGGTAAAATATTTTTTTATACGCATCCTTTTCTTATTTATTTGTTATACTGATTATTTCGATTTTTTGGTTTTTCTAAACATGATACTCTGGTTCATGCTGTTAATTATAGCTATGTGCATGGTGATGTAAAACCGGAGAACTTCTTACTAGGTCAGCCGTCTACGCCACAAGAAAAGAAATTGTATCTCGTAGACCTTGGATTAGGTTAGTAGGTTCAATTCAAGGATGAACAGCCTCATGCATATTTACACTCTACTTTGTGACCTTTCTTATTAAAGTCCGTGTTTTGCAGCTACAAAGTGGAGAGACACCTCCAGTGGGCAGCATGTTGAATATGATCAACGTCCTGATATGTTTAGGTTACCTTTTTCCTTTCAATTTTTTTCTTTTAAATTCTACTGGTTGATATTATTTTTTTTTTCTCATTTTTCTTTTATTATGGTTCTTCTTGTTCCATGCTCATGGTTATCAATCTGCTTTAATCTTACATTTTTAATTTTTGTAGAGGGACTGTGCGATATGCCAGTGTTCATGCTCATTTGGGAAGAACTGCTAGTAGAAGGGATGATCTTGAATCTCTTGCATATACACTCATTTTCCTTCATAAAGGCAGGTTACCTTGGCAAGGTTATCAGGTATATGCATTGTGAATGAGTGTCGTTTTAGCAATTTATTTTGTTCCAAATTATCTATCATTTACAATACCAAGAAAAATTTATTACGTCTCTCAAATTTTGTCTTCTCCCTAAACTAGTGTGCAATATCTGTTTTTTATTCAAGAATAAGGTATTAATAAAATATACTCTCAAGAAAAGGATAAATGAGGGTGTGCATGGAAGAGTGTATTAGGTTTTATCTTATCATATAAGCACTTGTGTGTATGAAGTTATAGAATCTTATGATTAATGAGTCAGTATGAATTGGCTATGTATTGATTTGTATCATATGATGAATCTCAAATTATTTTAACTCGTACAATACATGAATGAATCTATGCACAAATCACAGAATTCAATGTTTCAGTATTTTCCTTCTTAGTGTTGTTTTGTCCACTTCTCTTCCTAACATAACCTTTGATTGTTTAGTGTAAAGGAATTAAAGGAACATTTCCAAACTTAATTTATTTGATTATTCCACTATTTTATATGCAACGGCTCATTCAATGCATGCACTCTACTTGGTTATTTTATTGCTTGGTATCTATTCTTTCAAAATAATGGCTTCATAAACTCAAATATAATTAATAATTTTGTTTTATAGACTTTTGATTAAGTTGTTTTATCTATTTCCATTTTAGAAGTATGACATTGAACACTATATGCATAATCTAAATGATCTATTTGAAGTTATTTTTCAATTTCTTTGAATATTACAATCCAATACTAATTACGATTCATGATTCAAAATTTAGGTTGACTATTCATTATTTGAATCTCAATTTGATAACACTTTTCTGTTCTGAACTATAAGCAAATCTTGTGAAGAATATTAAGAGATTAGTAAAATTTAATGCACTTAACTGCTTTCCCTAATCTGTGTGAAGGTTTTTTTTTTTTTTTTGGCTTATATATGTGAACAGAGTTATTATTCAATAATCGTTTAATTTAGGTGTATATCTAAAAACAAACTTAGTCCTATGGTTGTGTTTGTCTATAGAATTTGGGATAGTCATTATTCTTTTGCAACACTTGTACAACATTTATTTTAGCATGGAGAGCAGTGATTGAGTTTCTCTACATATATTGTTTTAATCTGATTTTGCCTTTTTAGGGTGATAACAAATCCTTCCTTGTTTGCAAAAAGAAGATGGGAACATCTCCTGAGATGCTATGCTGTTTCTGCCCTGCTCCTTTTAGGCAGTTCCTTGAGATTGTAGTGAACATGAAATTTGATGAGGAACCAAACTATTCTAAATTAATTTCTTTGTTTGATGGTATGCTTGGACCAAATCCTGCATTGAGGCCAATAAATACTGAAGGTGCCCAAAAGGTACAATCATTATTGTTTAATTTTAGAGTATATGTTTTTCTGAATGATAAAGTCTTCTATTATTTTTTGGATGTAGATAGACGTGTGTGTTTGTGTGTGTATGTGGAAACAGTACAGAAACAAGTTGGGGAATTTTCCCAGTCAAACAGTATTTTATCTTACTTCCTAAGCTGAATCTTTTACTTTAGAAAAGTTATGTATGTTAAATGTGCAATTGTATGTTACATTGTGCCACACAAATTTTATTAGAAAACCACATAAGGCTTAATGGGCTTTGGGTGAGGTTTCAGTAATTTTATCCACTGACAGCCATTATACTATGCAAGTCTTATTAAGAAACAGCCCCATGTCCGTGTGTGTAGTAGCACTGAACATATATACGGAACTGCACTACAGTTGATAGTAGGACATAAGGCCACCCTGATTATGGAGCAGCCTGTCCTACTAACATAGAGTAGATGTTTCTTATCTTTTTGCACTATTTTTATTATCATAATTTTGGTCTGTGTTCATGGTGCGATCCTTTTGTTCCCTCAAACAAAATGTACCAGGTTGGGCAGAAGAGGGGTAGATTGAATATTGAGGAAGAAGATGATTCACAGCCCAAAAAGAAGGTTCGATTGGGGGTTCCTGCTACACAATGGATTTCAGTTTACAATGCAAGACAGCCAATGAAGCAAAGGTAGAGCGGCAGTCACTTTCTGTAGGAGCTTCCTTTAATTGAGCAATTGTATATCTGAGATTTTTTTTTTCTTATGCACCTTGCATTTTATTAATATAAAAAAATGTTTTCCAAGTTAAATAAATGTTTGCTTGAGTTTTACATTGGCTCAACGTTTAATTTGCTTTCACTTGTTTAATATCATAGTGTAGCCTGTATTTATGTCCAAATGGTGCAAGCTCGATTCCTCTTAGTGTATTTTGGAGCCATTTTTGAACTGAAGGATTTTTTTCGTTAACATAAGTTGAGTCCTTCAAGTAGGTGAACTTAATGTGTCATTTCATAGCTTAAATAGTACTAAATTTTATTGAAAAACTATAGGAAAGTTTGAGTGCTAGCTCCTGAAATAGTTAAAACATGCTAGAGTATTTTCCTGAAAAGAAGTCATTTCAACAGTATAATGTAATAGGCGGCTGATATGATATGGAAGTATGTGGTAGTGTAAATAAAGGTTGAGACTGCTGCAGCATTTGTGGTTTCTTAATTCATAGATGCAATAGACTAGATGCTGCAATACTGGTAGTAGCAAACATTATTTGCCTGAAGCAGTAACAGAGGACCGAGAATTTGATTTTACATAAAATGCAATGCTTGATCAGCGCAACTAAATTTCAGCTTTACCATGAAGACAAAATTGTGTATGGTTGTCAAAATTGAGAGTTCAAGACGTTTCGTAAACTCCAAATGTTAAATTTTAATTTTAAAAAATATTAAAATATCAATAGCAAAATAATAATTCAATGTTTAAATTTTATAATAAAGCAAAATAGTAAACTTTTGCATCTCATTACAATAAAAATTGAAGGAACAAACCACTATTATTTAGTTTACTATATTTTAGTTTATAATTTTTATATCAAACATTGTACTTTATTTAGTTTTTTTTTTTAGTTATTATATTATATATGTTGTGTTTTAAATATTTTTATATTTTTAAAACTGTGAATTTTTTATTCTTCTTCAAAAGTATTATATTATATAATATATATAACAAATAGCAATTCTCGGTTAACAACTAAAGAATTCATCCATTCTTTCTCTTGTATGACAAACCCACTGAAAAGTATATGGACTTGAATAAGATACTAAGTCATTATAACCTGTCCCTAATTAAGTGAAGGCCCAAAAAATATTAAAAAAAAATCACATGGACCCTAATTATAACTAGAGTCACCAGTTTTCTCCTTGCCAATGCTGCAAGTGCAGCTTAATCTATAACATAAGACTGTTCATGCGTTTAAGGTTCAAGTGAAAAAATTGTAGTAGCCACATATCCTCTTTCTGGAATGCAATTCCACATAATGGCATGTGATGCCATGGGTTCTTTAAGAGTGAGATATTTTCTACTCCTCACATCTGCGATAGTGGGTGGTTCATTCAACATTTACGTAACAAGTTAGAGGATATGACTAAGAACCACAAAATCAATGTCCAAACAAAGATCCAACCAAACTCGTATAATATGGATGTAGAAATATAAATGCATCGAGTTGACTCTTGATTTTGATAACCATGGTGTCCACTGCTCAAGTATTTGTAATGATCGTGTTTTTTACTTTTGATTTGGTTTAATTAGGTATCATTATAATGTAGCGGATGCAAGATTAGCACAGCACGTGGAGAGAGGGATTGCAGATGGCCTCCTTATTAGTTGTGTGGCTTCTTGTTCCAATCTCTGGGCACTTATTATGGATGCTGGAACTGGTTTTTCTAGTCAAGTTTATAAGTTGTCACCATTTTTCTTACATAAGGTGAAATTATATGATATAATATACAGAAGTACACGTTATATAATATGATATTTGTTTTCATATGATGAATCTTTCCAATGCATCTCTGTTTCTTTCCAGGAATGGATCATGGAGCAGTGGGAAAAAAACTATTACATTACTTCTATTGCAGGAGCTAATAATGGGAGCTCTCTTGTTGTGATGTCAAAAGGTCTGCCTTTGACGTTTTTATAAATGATTATCAGAACTTTTTTACCCCCTTGACATGATGTATCTTATCCAGCACTATGATGTATTTTGGGATAATTTCAATTTAACCTCATTTTTAGTTCCCACCTGTTTGACCTTTTGTACAAGCTTGGTGAAGAGGCTGCATATTGTTTCTTCACCCGTATAGCGGTTTTTCTGTTTTAATGAGTGAGATAGGAGTGAATATTTTGTTGTGTAGTTTTGGGTCTGGCTTAGATTGGGTTTTGGAAAGAGGCTTGGAGGGATGGTAGGGGGATGCACAAGAAAAGATAGGTGAGAGGATGTGTAGCCAATGGAAGAGGGGTGCACTTGGTGAGACATAAGAGCTGAGAGGTAACTATGAACACATCATGGTTTCCTTTGGTTCTGCCTGTAGCTGATATGATGTGAATAAGTAGAGACAGAAATAAATTAACTGCTGTGCCTTAACATGTGAATCAGCATTTACTATATTTATATTGTATGTACAGCTAATGGAAGAGGGGTGCAATTGGTGAGAAGTAAGAGCTGAGAGGTAACTATGAACACATCATGGTTTCCTTTGCTTCTGCCTGTAGCTGATATGATGTGAATAAGTAGAGAGAGAAATAAAGAAACCTGATGTGGCTTAACATGTGAATCAGCATTTACTATATTTATATTGTATGTACAGCTAAATGATCAATTTACAGATTGTAGTAGAGGTGTAGTAAACTTATTCAATTACCAGTGGTATTAATGTTTGTCCTTCTTTATTTGCGTATTTATGAGTGAGAGAGGAAGAAAGTAGCCTTACATTGTAAAGGGATAAACAGCACTTCTAAGTATTGAGTGTATCTTTACTGTTTATTATGAGCTTTATTTAGTGTTTTTCTTTTGAACAAAGATATAAATTTCAGCAGATCTCTACTTACAAGCATTAAGCTGTTGCTAATTTTTGGTGATGTATGGTCTAACTTATGCAGGCACACACTATACACAACAATCATACAAAGTAAGTGATTCATTCCCATTCAAATGGATAAACAAGAAGTGGAGAGAAGGTTTTCATGTGACCTCAATGGCCACTGCTGGAAGTCGCTGGGGTGTTGTTATGTCTAGAAATTCTGGATACACTGATCAGGTTTGTTGTTTATATTTTACTTCTGTACACTGATCAGTTTTGTTGATTTCAAAGTGATATCTTGAAACCGCAAGATCCATTTTCTTGGGAGTAGTAATAATTGTCTGAAACATACAGATTTTTCAACCAAAATTTACTCATTTTAAGGGTTGGGAAATTCAAAGTGCTAGTGTTCTGATTGAACTATTTTGGTTCTTGCCAAGAAAATTCTGGCTAGTTAACACTTCCCTTTTTCATTAGTTCCATGATTTTGCGTAGTTGACAAACTGTAACCACTATTACTTGTTAAACATTTTATGATTGCTTTATACTGATGTTCTAAGATTCAATTAGTTAATTTTTTTCTGGTTAAAGAAGTGAAAACTTTATATTTGATAACTCATCTCATGTTGGGTCTAAAATGCATTCACGCATGTATGAGAGTTTGGCTTGAATTTTTCTTCTGAAATTAAATGATTTAAGTTACTTATTGCTCATATACAGAGCTGTTTTCATTGCTTTTTCTAATGGCTATATGCACAAAAACTGACTTTTTTTGGTTGAAATAGTCAGTAATGCAATTATTGAATCTGTCACTAGACCTAACCTTTGTTCTCTAACCTTCCACCTTTTTTAATGTAGGTTATTGAACTTGATTTTCTCTATCCTAGTGAGGGAATCCACAGAAGATGGGACAATGGTTATAGGATTACAGCAACTGCTGCTACATGGGATCAATCTGCTCTGATACTGAGCATTCCTAGACGCAGGCCAGCTGATGAAACCCAGGAAACTCTGCGTACATCTCAATTTCCTAGCACACATGTTAAGGTAATGGTTGTTGAATGACTTAGTTGATTTTATTTGTAATCACGATACCGAGACTGATACTTTAACTTTGGTTCTGTTTGTGTACAGGAAAAATGGTCCAAAAACCTTTACCTTGCCTGTTTGTGCTATGGGCGCACAGTATGCTGATTTGCGTTTTAGGAAAGTATTTTGGAGTATTTCATCCTGCACCGAACAAATCTTTTGCGCCACCTCTCCTATTCATTCCGGAATTAACTTTCCTAATGTAGTTTTTTATATTGTGAAAAGTCCATTCCGGAAGAATAGGAGGTGGCAAAAGAGATTTAGGGAGTTGGATATAGTATGTTGTTGTCTGTAAAATTATACATTGTATAATGGCCCAATCATGTTATAACATGGCAAGTTGTTGTATCTATTACAAGTTCCTTGGGGTGGGGAATGAGGCAGTTAATGTATACAGCTTAGCTTTATATGTTACTCCAATATATATGTATATGGCTCTATCAAATTTTTTGAAGATTGTTTCCCTCGTTAGTCTTAATAAAACTTTGTATGGCTATTCCCTGTGAATATTATCCTCACGCATTGCATGACATCCTTTTGCTTTTCTTTGCATCTATTTACAACATAAACTGAATTAAAATTCCTGTATTTTGTCTTTTTTAATTTATTTTTATTTACGTTTACAGCAATCAAGCAAAGAAACGAATTACTCCTTTCATTAGTTGGTAATACGAGATTTTTACTTGTTTTATTTAGTTCTTTTTTTCTGTATGCAGACGCATATTTAAACATTTTAAATGAAATTTTGAAGATAAAATATCCTTACAAAGAAATTATAATTGAGGATATTTCTTATGGATGCGCACATGAAAGTGTCATCTAACCTCACTCTACACGAATTCTATATATACCTATTTACAAGGATCATATTGGACAATTTTCTCATCTCAACTCGCTTGTAACTATAGACACTTCAGATTTATCATTTCCATTTTCACACAAGCAAATCACCATCCAGCATTTACTTTACTCGTTGTCGAAGCTTATCTAATGCAATTGTTTTATATATTTGTAGGTGTTAATGGAGATCAAAACCAAGAAGGGGTGTTCATGTAGTTGGTGTCCTTCCACATGATTCTCCGCATTTGCCACTATCACAACTATATCCTTTTCAAATGTATGTAATAAATAAGATCTAGAGGGAACTACAGATATAGGGATGCTGCAAAGACAATGTCCCTCTTGATCTTGGACACAGCTTCTTCAAACTTTGCCTCTAGTTCAGTTTCCCCGATTGACTTAGCTGCTGCCATTAATTGCTGAAGAACTTCCTCAAGTCGTCTGATTGCTCTAATCAAGCTACCTTCAAAGACTTGTGTGATTTCCATGATCTCATAGAACTTAGAACCCTTCGCCCACGCATACACAGCCTCCATAATGTCAGGCCTAAACGACTTGACAAAACTCTCAACGTCAATTTCCACCTGTTTATTTTAAGAAAAAAACATCATAGAAAAAAGAATTAGTTAAAAGTTAATACATTTTAAACTACATAAACTAAGACACTTTAGAAAGCTACAAGACAGCAAACAGACACATTGAGACGCTTACAATTTTGAGCAAAATCTACAGCGTTTGAGGAAAAGTAGTCTATTGAATATTATTTTTTAAGCCTACCCTAAATCACTAATTTGTTAGAGATAAATTAATAAAATTGATGCGATTTTCAAGTAAAGGTAAATTTTTATGGATGTTTTTTAAATTCAAGACCTTTAACTAATTTAAACAAACTTCATCAATGTGAATTAATTAAAGATGATTTATCATAAAGAATGGCCAAGACACGAGAAAGAAAACAAAGGACCTAACACAAAATTAAGTGCATCAAAGGTAAAAATCAAGGGTTTTTTTTGTTGAAGATGCTGCAGTCAGGAGTGATTTTGTAAATTTATTTGAAAATACGGATTTTAGACCAGGTTAGGAAAGATACTTCTAAAGGGCTGTGAAGACGAGGCAGAGGATGCCCTATGAGAAGAACAAAAGAAGCCAGTTGTCCAAAAGGAATCCCATAACTAAGGTGTGAAAAGTAGTAAGACTATTTTGCCTAATCAAATGAAACCATAGCTGAACATATATGATCAATTATACATCCTCAAAAATGGAACTTACTTGTATAACACATTTCTGATTTTCAGCTGGCACTTATTGGCCTAGATTTTCCCAAATACAACTTGAAAAAAAGAAGTGCATTTAGAGGTCAGATATGCAATTAATTGGTATTTTGTTCATTACCTTGCACTCCAGCTGAAGTTGGGCAACTCTCCGTGCCGTGTCTTGTAATTGCATAAAAAGAAGATCAAGTTCTTCCCGAGGCTTGGCAGCATCATGAATTTTTTCTTGCCAGACAAAACAAGAAAGGAGAGAAACCATCTGTTCTACCTTTACGTCCTTTAAGACACCATTGAACATGAGTTCTGTTAGGGTCAGTTCATCTGCACTACTAATTTCACAAGCAACCTTCCCTTTTAACTCTACCACATTGTCACTTGTAGCATATCTGCAATGAAGATCTGACGTGAATACCATTTTCCTCAACAAAAGTTAATCAAATAGGGCTGTTGAAATTATCTGATGGAGAGAAACATATATAAAATTCATAAAAATTGCTAAATGCACAAATTGGACTCTAAAAGTTGGCTGTAGGAAATTAAGATCCATTTGATAGTTCTAGGAAGTAAGTCACCAAATACATATAGAAATGTTAATAGAGATGGTTTGGTGTCTTTAACTTAATGGATTAAAGCAAAAAAGGCAAGAAATTACAAGCACATAAAAGACAGATCAGCAAACCACTATGTACTAACATTCATCGTGCTGTATTTCTTGGAAGGGGGGATTCAGAAATACTATTAAGAAAAAGAAAACAAAGTAGACGATGACTAATCCACCTTAACAGGGGGAGATAGGCTACTTCAAATAACAAAAATGTAAAGCAACAAAGGGTTTTACGCTGCATTTGTGCACAAAAGCTAAGATAATATTTCAAGGAAACAATTGTTTTCAGGATTACTATGTAGAAACTTTTGGTACAAAGAACAAAGTAATTAAGAAGTTTCTTTACCCTAGCCTCCGAAGAACTCTCTTTCTGGCCTTAAGTTCATCCTTGAAAGCTAAAGCAGAAGAAGATCTTAATGTTTTCTTAATGGACTTAATCTTTGCTGTCAGTTCTTGCTTCCTCTGTAAAACTTTCAATTTCTGTTTTATAAGTGGTGACTTTGCAATTTCATGCTTTTCAAATAGGCTTTCCAAAGCTTCTATCCTACGAGATGCTTTTTTATATGAGCTGCTTTGGATCTGATACAAAAAGAATCAAAATGATGATTGTGTAATCAGGAAAGATTCATAGGAAACAAAGAATAAATGAATAGATGGGCACAATACGTTCATGTCTTCTTCAGGATCTAGAAGGGGCAGTCCTTTTTCCCCAAATCTAGAAAGAGTTTCCAACACTTTCTTCAGTGTGTTTTCTCGTGCTTCCAATGGCAAGAGATCCTTCGGTATAAATAGACGCAGACTACTTATTGTATTGATCTGTTAAGAGTAAAACAGCAAATAATTTATTAATTGTCATTAAAAATAAAGTATATACAATTCCATTAAAATCAATCAACATTTTAACAATGGATCGGATAATAACAGATCACAAATACCGAACCACCACGTAAGCTTCAAAGGAACAACCCTAAAAATAAATATTTTAGAATCTACTGTCAAAAGTGTAATTTGTTTTGATGTTTTCATAGAGCAAATAAAAATCAACAAGTTAAAAGTGAGAAAGCTTATTAGCATTAATAGGTATGGAAGAGCAAAAGCTTAAAACAACGACAGAAAACAAATCCATCGTCACAACCAAGCAGAGCAAAGTTTTAAATGTAGCCATCATATGCTTCATACACTAGTTTTTTTTCTTTTCCCTTTGGCAATTTTCATGGAATAATCTGATCTATCAACTTAAGGAAAATCCCAAAGGCACATTTGGAAATGAAATTTGGTGCAAAAGGGAAGAAAGGGTAAAAATTTCATTTCTAAAAAATATTCTCTAATTTGATAGTTTAAAAATCAAAATAAACAAAATGGTAGATTAATGTAAACTTAATGTTCTACTCTTGTTTCTTTTATAAAAATCACAAACAATAAAAAAAGGGATCTTCCCCTTTCTCTCTGGAACTCCACTATTTAACATACCTTGAAATAAATTTTTAGAAATTTATACGGAATAAAATGCACTCTTAAACTCCTAAGTAATTGTGGGTTGAGAAACTAGCTATTTATACTGCAACCTAAGAAGTGAAGGCCATAAAAGTCACAGCAAAGCAAGTGCCCCAGTCTTGTTCTTAGAGGTAATGTTTAAGATCAGTTTTGAACAGAAACATTATGAGTAATAATCAGTCCTCTCTATATAAAAAAGTTGAGTTGCAGTTACAGATGTTATACTAGGAGTTACAAGGATGGTGGCTGTTAGGCATGGTGAATTGCATTCTTTTGTCTAAGCTAAGGAGGCACACAGACATTTCTGGTAATGTTACATGTCATGGGGTATTCCACTTCTTCTTGAGGTATAATCTATTTTGCATTCACATTGTTCTGAAGTGCAAATACAGAGTATAAACAAGGTGGGAAAAATTCACAGGTTTTTCTATTCCTTCATTGATTATATTGTTTTTCAAGTGAAAGATGTGATAATTTGGGCTTTGCTACCCTGTCTTCCATGGAGATTCCAAGTCATATATGAAATATTATGATCTCTCTATCTCATGTTTCTTCCATTTTCCACTTCTATACAACGTTATTGTTTTTCAACCATCACTAAACCATATGATAGACTAGGAAAGATAATGTTCTGTCAAAGTGCAATATGATAAAAGAAAAAACAAAATTTTGAAGTTCCATCCTTGCAGATATATTACATCTTTTAACAGTTTAAAAAGAATTACCTGAGTGATAGGAACTGAAACCACTAGAGGTTCTCCAACTTCTTTAAGAGGAACAATCTTGATAGATTTTTTTCCAATTTTATCTTTCTTCACAACACATCTCGTAAGAACATCAACATTGTAAGATGCATCCTCAGGTTTTACTCTTATATCATCTGAAATTTTAATTTTACTTTTATGATAAATAGACTAGAATTTAAACATACAAAGTATATATAAATCACTAGAAACCATTAAGGATTCTCACCTTCAGAGGCACTCTTAACCCTTTCAAAATTAACGACCAACCCCCAAGTCAACTGGTCCTCAATAAAAATGGGGGGTAGATCTTCATCACTTGAAGCGCATTCAAGAGAAACAAGCCTCCCAGGCTGTAAAAAAGGTAAACAGTGCCTTGGAGATAGCACAATGTCACGGACATCCTTATTCAAACTTCGATGCTGCTCCAGCAGATTGAAATAATCCTTTAGACTGTTTTCTTCTTCAATAACAATTGATTCCCTCTCTTCTTGAAGAGCCTTTATTTGTTTCTGCATAAACAAAAAATACAAAGAAAAATTATACTTTTTAATTTTAAAAACTTGTGGAAAGACCAAAGAGTCATACTAGTACTAGTTATATAAATGTTAACCCATTGAGACGCCTCTACGCTAAGTTGATTATTTGATTTTTAAAAAAATCTTGTATTGTTGATTTGGATATTATATCAAGAAAGCACCTTCTCAAGATTGGAAGAGGAAAGGATAAAGCTCAGACCATTTGATCAAAGATAATATACCAAATCAAAGACTTTATCAACCAGAAAGCTTAACCAAAACGGATTTAGACCAACTCAATCCAAAAGTTCAACTCTGTCAGGTTTAAAGGACAGAAGGAAAGGGGTATACAATACAGATTGCTATCACAGAAGCCAAGTGAGAATCTATTTCATATGGTGTATAGCCCACACTTTTGACAAGTGCTTCTGTAGAAAAATCCAGCATATCACGTCCTAGGGTGCAGAACATTGTGTTAGGTAATCCCAATGGCCTGATATCTATTAGTTGGGAGAGTCAGAGTCAGTAATTTTTAGTTAGAATTCTAACAGAATTTGGCAGACTATAAAGAGATGGGGAGAAAAGACTAGTGGCATTCAGTCTTG